CCCCCCCCCCACACACGCACATACACACACATACACACCCTCCCCAAACCATTAATGTAGCCTTTTTCTCGACTAAGTTATCTAACGCCAGAATCCATTTAGCTACCCGAATCTCGTGCCGCACGTTGTTTGGACGTTGTGCAAGATGCACCATAATGTGTGTTATTACTTTGATGCGTTTGTTGATGACTGTCGAGCAGCCAGGTAAACCCGTGGCTTTTGTTTTACCGTGAGTCCTGTTGGCATTACGTAAATGTGCTTTAATGTACTCCACAGGAAAAACGTATTATATTATTTCTAAGTTCCCAAAGTGGATTGCTGGATTGTAGTCTTGAGTACACGGAATGGTGTTTTTTTCGGTAATGAAAAACTTTCTAGACTTTTTGACGTAGTGGAAATGTTGAGTCACAAGTTTTAGGTTATTACGCTTTGCAGCGTGGCTATAACATAACAGCTACCTTTCGCCAGGTAGAGATTAGAGTGATAGTCGTAGGGGGCGCTGTTCGGTCCGCACTGACGACTGTGTTTGCGTTTTATCTGTCTTAGCTTTTTTTCTTGCCATCATGGCTACTTGTGATGATAAAACAGTGGGAAAGAAGTAGACTGAGCGAGCCACACCAAATCATCCACCACTCACAGAACGAGTCATTAGTGCTTGGTTTAAGTAACGCATATTATTATCTTGAGGCGAAGCTATTCTCCTATTATTCTATGGTAGATGAAGAAAAAAATGTATGTGAACTGCTAAAGGCTTAACGCCCCGTGCAACACAATGAGGTTATTTAAGAGGCGGGACCTTCGAAGTTAAAGTTCATCTCCAGTAGAACTGTAAATAAAGGATTACTGTTCTGTTCAGAACTAAAGTGTATAAAGACTTTCTGGATGGTCTATATTTAATTTTGTGTTTGAAGGTTGCAAGACATAATATTATGTTTTAAGTACGAGTATTCTGTGTAATTCTATAGATGTGACAACATTCTAAAGGGTAAGTGACGAAATAAAATAGATGTTGTGCTTCTTTGAACTACCTGGGAAGATAAGTGATACAAAATAAGTCAGATTGTAACAATCACGGTTTCAGATCGAATCTCACATGTTCTCATATAAAGTGTCTACCTGCATTTAGAGCTCTGGTGCTTCATGTATTAGTGAATACGGGTTTAACATCTTTGTCAACATTATAAGGTTATTTGAGAAGCGAGACCTATTTTAAAGTTCGCCTCCGATGGGACCGAGCTAAACTGATTGAAAGCCTTGGAAACTCTACAAAACGAGCAGAGTTTAAACCCGCCTAGTCAGGGATTCGAACCAAAGCCATCCGCTCTGTACTCCAGCATGACAAATAAGCTAACAAAGCGCCCCTAGTACCTCGTAAGCATAAAGAAAGCAAACTATAATAAAATGTCAGTACATGTATGTCAATATAAACACAGTTAAACTGGACCAATCCAATGCTAAATCAAACGGTTTACGCATGTACACATTCAAGGGATAAAGATGTCCCTTTATCCAACTCAAACTTTTCCTTCTATTGTAAACTCTCTGATGTTGTCAAATCGTCTTTATTTTGCAGTGAATTAAGTGATTCATTTTTTCAAATGCATTTACAAAATCCGTGTGAGGCATGAGTATACAATATCAGTCGTTTCGTTTTTCTCATTTTTTTTCGCCGTAGGCCAAACACGATCATTGAACACCTTGTTCCAGTCCAGTCCGAATCATGGTTAGTTCTAACGCTGTTTGATATCAACTTCTCACAGCACGTTTAATTAATCAAGTCTACTTTATCCTAGGAAACACGCACTCATCCTGGATCGTCATTCACTATATTGCCTATAGCAGCAAGAGTGTTATTCGTTTTGAGTCTCACCCAAATTTAGTGTGGTGAGGTGTGTAGGATTTTGTTAGCGTGGGGACAAATGATTGTTTGTTGTTGGCCCAGCAAAATAGTCTTGAGATAAGACACGTTGCCGGCTGTTCCTCGCGGAAGATCATCCAAATCAGTGCTCTGTTTCTTTATTCGTGGCATTGTTGCTGATAAGGGAGAGCGTTTTTTGGGAAGAAAAAGTCTCTCTATTTCTGTCTGTCTGTCTGTCTGTCTGTGTGTCTGTCTGTCTGTCTGTGTGTCTGTGTGTCTGTGTGTCTGTGTGTCTGTCTGTCTGTCTGTCTGTCTGTCTGTCTGTCTGTCTCTCTCTTAGTTTCTGTGCCTCTCTCTTCTTATGTTTTTGCCTCTGAACATCTCTTCCGTGCTTGCGCATACGTACTATTCTATTTGAGAGGGGGGGG